GTGTTGTGTGTGTGTGTCCGTCCTTTAGGAGACAGAAGAAGATTCCAGTCCCTTGGAGCTAAGTTAACATGTAGTTGCTAGCCACCAATGTAGATGCTGGAAAATGACCAAGGGTACTGTGCATCAGATACTCTGGAGCAGAAAGATCTCTTAACCACTGAGCCATCTCTCCAGCCCTGATACTCAAATTTTTACATCAATACATGCACCTAACTCCTTTCTGAATAAAAGAAAGTGTTGTGCTTTAGGGGACGTCATATATTTTATTCATTTAGAAAAACTACATGGCAGTATTGAATGGGTTTTTTATAATACCAGTGACCTTCACAAAATTGCTAATCTTTTTCCTTGTGACATTCAGGCTATTTCTGTTCATGTTAATGTTTATTTTTACATATTTGCTTAATCGCCTATTATGTAAATATATTTATATTTTGGCTTTAGAGTTATTTTTAGGAAGTGCTAAATAATATTTAGAGCCTGCCATGTGCCAGCCATATGCAAAGCATTCATACTTATAATCTTTCAGAATGGGAGAGCGCTTGCCTGGCGTGCTTGAGACCCTATGTTCAATCTCCAGCACCACAAAAAATATAAAAGACAGGCAGGCAGGCAGGCAGAAGACGTGCAGATACTGTTGGAGCTGGAGATGGAATCAGCTAGAGCACAAAGCCCTGGACTTGGACCTCAGTGATGAACAAACAGCAAAGGGCAGAGCTCCTAGACACTCTTAGGACTATCTTCCAGGAGAGGCCTAAGGACTCTTTACATAAACATGCTTTTAATTTTCCTTTTTCTAAATGAATATACACATATGTATTATTGTTATATACATATTATGACATAAAATGAAAAATCTTAATTGTTTTCAGTTTAGTGTTTACTTTATATAATTTTGGGTTTTGCTTTCATTGAGTCAGTTTCCTGATTGTGTCCCTGGTTGACCTGGGGCTTGCAGCAATCCTGCCTCTGCTCTAGTGACAATTTCTAGTTTTGTTTTGAGACCTCTGCCTCAAATATACTATATAGCTTAGGGTATCTTTGAACTCCTGACCCTCCTGCCTTTCCTCCCAAGTGCTGGAATTCAGGTATGCACTAGGCTTCCCCCCACCCGCCACCCCCAAGATGATTTCTCTGTGTAGTCCTGGGTGCTGAAATTGAAGGTATGCACCTGGCTTTTTTTTTTTTTTGAGATGGTCTCATAGCTAAGTTAGTCTGGCACTCTGTTCAAGCTGGCCTCAAATTCAAAATCTTTCTTCATCTGACTCCTGAGTGCTGGAATTAGACATAAGCCTGGCATTTAGTGTATATAGTTTTCTCTTTTTTTAGATTTTTACACTTTATTTGATGTGTATGAATGTTTTGCCTGCATGTGCACATAATGTGCATCACATGTGTGTCAAGTGCCAGAGGAGGTCAGAAGAGGGCACTGGATCTCCCCGCAGCCAGGGTTACAGATAGTTGTGAAACACCATGTGATTCTGGAAACCAAACCCAGATCCCACGAAGTACACAGCAAATATGCTTAAACTCTGATCTATGCAGTCCTGGCTGTCCTGGAGCTCACTTATATAGACCAAGCTGGTCTCAAAATTCACAGAGATCCTCCTGCCGCTTAAGTGCTGGGCTTAAAAGTGTGCACCGCCATACCTGGCCTTTCTCTACTATTTTTCAATTTGAATATTGAGTGCAGTTTTCTGTTTTTATAGGTTTGGGACCTGCGTCAAAACAAGTTAACCTATACCATGAGAGGCCATGCTGATTCTGTAACCGGCTTGAGTTTAAGTTCTGAGGGATCTTATCTCTTGTCCAATGCAATGGACAATACAGGTAACTTTGAAGAACAAAACTGTTCTGGGGCTAGTGTCTGAACCTAAAGGGGACAGGGGATAGGGTGCTATTAAATAAAATGCATTGGGGAATGGGTGATACTGCTCAGCTGGTTAAACTATCTACATATCAGACTAGATTACTTGAGTTTGATCCTGGGACTCACATCTTCAATCTCAGCACTTGAGAGGCAAAAGCAGGTGGATCTCTGAGTTCAAGGACAGCCTAGTCTACAAAGTGAGTTCCTGGACAGGGAGGGCTGTTATACAGAGAAACCCTGTCTCCAAAAAAAATAAAGGGAAAAAAGAGCCTTAGCAATTAGTGTTGTGTTGGACCTCCTCACCCAGGAGACAGTATTTGTTACTGACATGGAAGCTGCTGGCTCATAGTTGTGTTTGTTGCTTGACTGGTTTGGATTTGCTTTGTAGTTCGAGTCTGGGATGTCCGGCCCTTTGCTCCGAAAGAGAGATGTGTGAAGATATTTCAAGGAAATGTGCACAACTTTGAAAAGGTGAGTGGTACCTGCCACGAGGGATGGTTTTGCTATCCATTTGATCTGAAGAAACATTTATAGTGATGCTAAGGGTAGAGAATTGTTGACCCACTGAGAATGAGTGAAATCTGGTAACCGTCATCGTTGAAGCTGCCCTCTCTCCTGCCTCAGCCTCCCGTGTGTTCAGATCCCAGGAGCATGCCCCTATGCCCAGCTCAAAGCTCTTCTGTTAGACAAGGCAGCCACACAGATAGATAGCACTGGGACCCATCCTCATTCATAGAACTAATGACCTCAATACCTCCCCCTAACAAGGCAACCCTGGCTTTTTATTCCTTGGGGATCTCAACCCTGTAAATCAGTGTCTGTGAACCCCGGGCTTGCATTGCTCTTACCCAGATGCCAGCTCTTAGAGCCCTGTGTTCACACTCATTCCCCTTGTCATCACAATGACCTGAGTTCAAGAGAGTTTTTCTCAAACCCTCACATGTCTGGTCAGCTCTTTTGGAAGTCAATTCTTCTGTCACTGAGTTTCTTAAGAAAGATTAATGACTCCTGAAATTGTTTTACCTTATAAATCAAATCTTATTTTTGTTGGGTTTGGGGTTTTTTGTTTTTCTTCAAGATAAAGCAAAGACAAAAAAAAAAAAAAAAAAACAGGATAAAATTTTAAAACGTTGTAATGAGGATCAAGATAAGTGGAGCACAGGGAGAAGTCTGGTTGCCAGGCTTGCTCTTAATAACTAGGTTAAGCATTTCTGTGTGCTGTAAAATTACGAAGCAGGCCAGAGAGGTGGCTTCAGCAGTTGAGAACACTGGCTGCTCTTGCAGGGGACCTAAGTTTGATTCCCAACAACCTCATGTCAACTCAGTTGTCCGTAACTCCAGTCCCAGGGGATGTGATGCCCTCTTCTGGCTTCCTCGGTCACCAGGCACACATCAGGCATACCTGCAGACAAAACACTTAAAATAATACGCATAAAATAACAGGTAAATATTTAAAGGAAAATAAGTAAATTACAAATCATGCTGTTTTGAGCAGGCATATATTAGCTGATGTTTGTTCTGGGGAGACACTCAGCCTCCTAGATAATGTAAAGTCAGTTGACTCCTGGTACAACAAGAGGTGTTTGGCACATTAACTGTCCTGTGTGTTCCTGCTCATTACAGAACCTTCTACGGTGTTCTTGGTCACCTGATGGAAGCAAGATAGCCGCTGGCTCAGCGGACAGGTAAGGGTTCCTGGGTATAAGGTAGAGAATGATGCAGCTGTCCAGGTCTCACATCTGCTGCAGGGATATGAAGACAACAGACATATTTAAGCAAATGGAAAAGAACTCCCAGAGGTGATGCCATGTGAAGAGAACGGACTTAGAGCCTGTGTGGACAGTTTTCTGTTCCATTTACATTTTAGACCTTTGTATCTGTTGGAAACTCACAGTTTTCTGACTCTGCTGGTCTTCTGCCATGCTTTGCTTCAGTCGATACATTTGAGACTTGTCTCTGGCCATCCCAGTGCTGCCCTCTCATGGAACTGTCAACCTCCCCTGTGCATTCTCCCTCCCAGGTCTCTCATACCTCCCCTCTCTACTCTCAGACTCTGTATCTTCCTAGTAACCTGTCTGCTGTATCCCTGAACTTTCCCTGGTGCTCTCTCCCCCTTTGTCCCTTTAACATAACGCATTGCTCTTTGCCATAGCCACACTTCATATATCTTAACTTTTATTCGTATTTCCCCCTCTTACCTTTAGACAGACATATTGGGAGATCCTTATGAATTGCTCTCAGCAGTCACAGGGTGCATCTTGACATTCTCTGTAAACTCAGGTACTGCTAGTTGGTGCTTGAATTTTTATAATCACTTGCTAATAATTACAAGAATGAATTCCTAGTCAGAGATGGCCGTCAGATTCCACTCTTTATGTCAACCCAAAATTGGGTCGTAGCTGCCAGCGCTGAAGATGATTCAGAGCTAGAACTGGGCTCAGTGGAAAGTGCCAACGTTGCTGAGTGAAGTGGGCTGCATGTCATCCATCTGTGCCAAATTAATAAACCAAGACTTTCTTATGTGTGAACTTAAACTGGTTCAAGGCCTTATGTCATGAATGAGAGACAGAAGGGAGAAAATTCACCCATCAGATGCTGTTGTTTTTAGTGGTGTGTACTAGGGAGGAAATTGGGTGGAGTAGGGATTCTGGGGGCCAACGACAGTGGGCTTGTAGAGACTCCTGGAGACTCAGTGATAGAGGCCTGTAAGCCAAATTGGTCCCTAGTTCATAGCTTTTAGTTCAGGATTCTCTTTGGGGACGTGTTTTGTTTTGTTTTCAGGACATGATCTCCATATATAGCTCTGGCTGTCCTGGAACTCACTCTGTAGACCAGGCTGGCCTTGAACTCACAAAGATGCATCTGCCTTTGCCTCCCAAGTACTTGAGTTTGAAAGACATGCACCACTACACCTGGTTTATGCTTGGAAAATTTTATGTCCTTTTTTTTTCTACCAAACAAGTTCAATGTCAGGAAAACTGAACAATTAATTCAGGCTGTTTGGGGCAAGTGGGTACCTGAGGGAAAGAGTGCCATATTGATGGCTTGCATCTCAGAGGCATAGAAAGCCTACCCTGAAGAGTCTAAGAGCTTTTCTATTATTAAGAAAAAGAAAATGTAACCCTTCCCCTACCCCTGGAAATGGGCAAAGAGATACCTTGTTGGTGGTATTCTTTTATCAGCCAGGGGCAAAGCAGATGGTAATCCTTTGTTCATCCTAGTGTGATGCCTGACTTGGTGGCCAAAGCTTGGTGGCCTAGAGCACATTAAAAACACACACAAACAGAAATAGACCAAGGAGACTTGCGTGGTGCTTGCCTGTAACCCAGCACTCAGGAAACTAAGGCAAGCAAGGGTCAACAAAGTTTGAGGCCAGTCTGGACTGTATAGTGAGACATTGTCATATCATTTTCCACAGAGATGGTATGTCTCCCCTATATAATTGCATCTTTTTTAATTGTTTTGAATTTATTTATTGTTTTGAAAGATTTAAGAAATTTTCATCTAGCCATACCTACTATATGGATGTCTTGCCCACTGCAGCACTGGCAGGTGCCTGTGGAAACCAGAAGAGGGGATTGGATTCCCTGAATCTGGAATTACAGATAGTTGGTTGGTTGTATGCCACCATCTGGGTGCTAGGAATCAAACCCAGATCCTCTAGAAGAACAGCATGTGCTCCTGGCCACTGACCCATCTCTCTGGCCCCTAACTATATCCTCGTTTGTTTTTTTTTGTTGTTGTTGTTGTTGTTGTTGTTGTTGTTGTTTGTTTGTTTGTTTGTTGTTTTGTTTTTTAGAGACAGGGTTTCTCTGTAGTTCTGGCTGTCCTGGACTCACTTTGAAGACCAGGCTGACCTCAAACTCACAGAGATCCACCTGCCTCTGCCTCTCATTGCTGGAATTAAAGGCATGTGCCACCAATGCCCAACTAATTGTATCTTTTTAAAATTATATTTGCATAAGCTGTTCTTCTGATAAGAACAGGTTTTTTTTCCCCAACATGAGCATATTCTGATTTTTTTTGTTTGTTTGTTTTTGTTTTTCTAAGACAGGGTTTTACTATGTAGTCTTGACTGGCCCCAAACTTGCTGGGTAGACCAGGCTAGCCTTAATTAAACTCAGAGAGAGCTGCCTGCCTCTACCTCCCAAGTACTAGGATTAAAAGTGTGTGCTATCGTGCTCAGCACATTTTCTAATTTATGACATCCTCACCCCTTTTCTTCCTTGCCATTCCTTACATGAGGGTATATGACTGGGTCAGAAGGAAGAGTCGTCACCTCTTCTGGCCTTGGCAAGACTTCACAGGCCACCTCGACAGTTAGCCTGAAGTTAGCAAGCAGTTCTGTTACATAAGTAGCCTGGTTTCTATGAAATGTTGACATGCCCAAATGTGAAGAGGACAAGGAACCCCTCTAAATTTAGCATGTAATTGGCAGCCATGAAGAGTAAGGCCTTGAAGTAAACCCTTGGAGATCCAGGCTTCTGCCGGCTTCTGTGTTCTTGAGAGAGAATATCCACCTCAGAAAGCTGCTTTCCAGCTGAGTCTGGGTTTGGCAGATTTCCCCTTTCTGCTTACAGATCACTTCCTCGTGTGGACTTAACCCTCCACAGCCCTGTCACGGACACTAGCCAGGCTGGGCCAAGAGGATTCAGGCTAGCCTGCTGACTTCATGTAGTTCTAGCTTTATAATACTTGTATTCGTAATAACAACAGCAGTCATTAAGTCTGTGTGCCACACACTTTGCGAATGTTCTCATTTTCTCACAAAGCTGTAAACCCACTTTTTTCTCCATCACTGTAACAGAAGAAAGAACCATTGCCTGATTACCTTAGCTAGTGAGTTGCTGTCCTGGAACTCGCCCCAGCTTCTCTGATTCCAGTGCTGTCGTCTTCCTTTTGCCCTTGGTGGGCTGGGCGGGATAGTGGTTTGTTTGTGGCAGAGAAGAGGGCATGAGCACCAGCTAAGAGGCAGAGATTGGTGGGGCTCTGCCTCTTGTCTAAAACATTTGAATTTAGAGATAGGATAGCCTCAAATTGACTGTGTAGCCAAGGACGGTTTTGAATTCCTTGTCTTCCAGCCTTCTCCTCCCAAGTGCTAGGTTTATAGCTTTGTGCCAATATGGCTGAGTATTCCAGAATTTTTTTTAAAGAATTATTTATATATTGTGCATATAGTGTTCTGCCAGCATGTGTGCCTACACACCAGAAGAGGACACCAGATCTCATTATAGATGGTTGTGAGCCACCATGTGGGTGCTGGGAATTGAACTCAGGACTTCTGGAAGAGCAGACAGTGCTCTTAACCTCTGAGCCATCTGTCTAGCCCTGTTCCAGAACTTTTACTTATTTGCTCGGGAGTCTAGAGGGTACTGGGCTATAAAGCATCTCACAGTTTATCCTAGGCTGACCTCAAACCCATGACCCTCTTGGCCTCCCCCTTTCCAGTGTTCGGATTGAAAATACACACACACACACACACACACACACACACACACACACACACACACGTGCACGCGCCTAGCTTGTTTGGATTTTAGAGTAAAAGTATACATAGGTTTGTGCCTTTTCCCCCACTCCATGTTTGTAGCCTATTATGAGCAAACTGTGTCAGTAACATAGATATGTTTATCTTTCTATAATTTCAGAACTTTGTAAATTCTGTAAACAACAAATTCAAGGGCTATATCAATTTTGTTGGTTTCAAGCCATCAGATATTTTTTAATTCTCTTGGTACAGCCCTGGTTTCTAAAACGCAGAGCATAATTCAGTAAACAAACATCCCCAAGTGTCCTAACCCTACTTCTAAGGGCCCTGGACTTGTCTTTGTGGCCCCTTGCAGGTTTGTGTACGTGTGGGACACCACAAGCAGAAGGATCCTGTATAAGCTGCCTGGCCATGCTGGCTCTATCAACGAAGTGGCTTTTCACCCTGATGAGCCTATCAGTAAGTCCACGTCTGCCCTGACTGCTCCAGATGAGAAAGTGACCTTTGCCCAGGGACTTGGGGGCACAGAGGCAGGCAGGGGACAGTTATGTGAATCCAGTGCTAACACTTTGGTTTGGAGGAATTTTTGGTATGGGTTTGTTTATTTGTTTTGGGTTTGTTTTTTTTTTTTTTTTTTTTTTTTGTTTTGTTTTGTTTTTGGAGGGGTGGTGGTTTGACCATAAGAGAAGGCAGTTGTCAGCATAAAAAGAGAAGTCAGTACTATAGCAACCTAGGGTTTTCATGTTACACTCACACTAAGGTGAAATTTGAACACACACGCATGTATGCATGTACACAAGCAGCCACTGAGACAGGGTTTCTGTGTGTAGCCCTGGCTGGCCTCGAACTCACAGAGGTCCACCTGCCTCTGTCTCTCAAGCATTGGGATTAAAGGTGTGCACCGACACCACTACTACCACCACGGCCGCCACCACCAGGCAAAATGAAAGTATTTTCCCCATCTAGGATCTTACTATGTAGCCTTGGCTTGGCTGGTGTTCACTTTATATCCCATGTTGGCCTCACACTTGAGGAAGTCCTACCTCAAGCTCCCAAATACTGGGCTCTTCAGAGGAACCCAGCACTTAAACCACAGGAAGGGATCTCAGGGAGAGTCAGTATGAAGCAGTGTTGCAGTTTATTTCAGGAAAGTTTACTCTGGATTTAAGTGGGGCTCTAAGAGAAAAGCCTAGGGTGGACATGGCATCCTCTGGAGGATTGCTGCCATCTATAGGCCAATCTTGAGATCACTGTCTGGATGGTGGGTGGCATTAGTTCCTTACCTCAGAAGGCTGGCTAGGCTGTTGGACATCTTTTATCACTCCTCAGTTTGGGTTCTGTCCATGACTTAGTCTCTTAGAGCAGCAGAAACTATAGACAAAAATGACTTATGAATATTTAGAATAAAATTATAATAAATTTGATAAGCTAAGCAAAGTAATAAGCTTTAAATTTACAGGGAAAAAAAACATGTTAACTTTCCCCAGGGCTTTCTATAACATGAAGAAGCACATTGACCAAGTAGGGTAAATATAGATGGAGTTTCTGTCCTACCTGGTCCCGTAGCCATTCAGTCCCAAATAAACACACAGAGGCTTCTGTTAATTATAAACTGTTTGGCCAACTTCGGACTTCTTCTTGGCTAACTCTTAATTATTAACCCATTTCTATTAAACTGTGTTGCCACGAGGCTGTGGCTTACCTGTAATACTCTGGTATGTTACTCCTTCAGGGACTACATGGCATGTCTCTCTCTCCGTCTCCCTCCCTTTCCCTCCCCCCTTCCTTTCTCTCTCTCACAACTCTCATTGTTCCTCTTTGCAAACTTCTCCTACTCTGGTAGTCCCGCCTGTACTTCCTGCCTGGCTGAATCCTGCCTGCCCATTGGCCGAAACAGCTTTAGTCATCAACCAATAAGAGAAACATTCACAGAATACAGAAGGACATCCCTCATCGGGGGACACTTGTAATCCCAGCCCTTGGTGGGCAGAAGCAGGAGAATTATTGCTTGAGGCTTGAGGCTAGCCAGGGTACATCACAGGTTCTAGATTAGCCTGGACTGAATAATGGCTATCTCAGAAACCTTATCTGAGAAAGCCCCAGCTCCAAAAAATGCTCACACACCCACACCTGTATGTGTGTGTAACTGGCACACATGGACAGGGAAGCTCTTTTTCTTGGGTGTGACTCAGAAGAGCATCGGGATTTGAGTCAGATCATGGTTCCCATAGCACAGCCATCCTCAGGATTTCAAGGGGACTTAGATTGAAAAGCTAGGCTGCAATTTCCTGAGTGTAGTGTTTAGGAGAACTCAAGCGCTAAATCTAATTGCTCTTATATGTCACAATTGTCTCTTGACACAGGGCTCTTGAGCCCCAAGTGTTCCCAAGCCTTCATTGTCTCTTGTCATGTTCTTTTTCCCTCAGTCCTCTCAGCATCCAGTGATAAGAGGCTGTATATGGGTGAGATCCAGTGAAGATGTGGGATGGAATTCTGTGTGACCTGAGACTCCAACTACATGATTGGCCAGAGTCAGGTGGTGTCCCGGCTAATCTGCCTTCAGATGACCGGCACTAGCAAGCAGCTGGAGGTGATGGCCATACTCCAGCAACCACTTGTACCCCATTTACCAGAACAACTGTGGACTCTGGTGCCACTTAACAAGATTTCAGGGATTGGCCTCTTTTTAAAAAATAAGATTTCTTCAGAGAGACAAACATTAGTTTGAAGTCTCCTGTTTTGTTTTGTTTTTTTGTTTTTTTGTTTTTTTTTTTTTTTTTT